ACTGAGTAATGGCAACTCAGAGTCAACAGACGTACCAACAACCTCAGCTACTGAGTACTGGCAACCGAGAGTCAACAGACGTACCAACAACCTCAGCTACTGAGTATGAAATTAAGTAACTATACTGGATTGTGGAGCCGAAACTAGTCCAATTGCCAAATGGTTTGGCAAGAAGGTAGCCTTCCGACAGGTTGGGGGAACACACGTATGTACACATGCACACACACACACCTCAGACCTCAGACATGCCCATCGCGGAAGCGGTGATAGCGAACAGCTATAAATTATTAGACATAGCAACTTGTGCTGGGATTACACCATTCAACAGCTTGCAAGGCTGATGAATTGACTGCCACTATTTTTAGCCTGGTATCCACCACACAGCTGTTTGAAGTGACTTTTTTCTGGCCAGTGAATCTCTATTTTTCATTTCAATTTTTTCCATTTTTTTCTTTACACACACACACCACACCACATACTCCGGCATACACACACACACACACACACACACACACACACACACACACACACACACACACACATGCACACACGCACACACACACACACACACACACACACACATGCACACACACACACACACACACACACACACACACACACATGCACACACACACATACATACACACGCGCGCGCGCACACACACACACACACAAATCGATACAGAAAATAGAATCCTCACCTCGGCGAAGAACTAACTTCCAGGTCTTGTACATGACTTGGTTGTCAGGGTCACGTACCAACACAACAACTTCAGTTGGAAACACCTGCATGGCAACAGTATCACCATGACAACATAACTATGACAAACCGTGAATCGAGTTGTGGCCGAGTGCCTTTTTCCAACACACGGCAGACAAGTAGTGTGATACATATGAAAGCTGAACAGTACAGTCATGCGTTGAGAAAATGATTTCAATCAATTTTGACATTCTAGATGTATACATGCACTTTCAGGGGCGTAGCAGCCGCTCCGGACCACTTTTTCACCCGACCACGACCAACATCGTAAAACAAAGTCAAAAGTGCCCAGAATGCAGGATTTTGCACTCTATTAAATTTCAAAATATTCCGGGGGGGGGAGATCCCCCGGACCACCCCCAACGGCGGTGCTACGCGCCTGACTTGTGAAAAGCTGGCTGTGATTCTCACAGTAACAGTGTGTGCATTTGATCACTTTGAGCTGGTTTTAAAATGAAAAAATTCAAAAAAACAACAATTTCGCTGTCAGCAACCTGCCAGGTTTCAGGTGTAATGTAGAATTAGGTGACCAGTGTACCCTTCTCATCCAGTGTGTGTAACAGTATAGACTTGATTGATTGGAGAATTCCCCGAATGATGTTCAAAAAGAAAGCGAGAACCGCAGGAGTGAGAATAGTAGGAACACAAGGTGTTACCATAAGACAAGCAAGAAGTGTCAAGGTAAAACTATTACACTCTCCCGGCCCCATAGGAAGCCCAAGGTTCTATTAGATAACACAATCCAGTTAGGAGATGCAATTGTGGAAAGGGGAATATTAAATAATCACTCATGCACATGCATAACCACATTGAAATGTAATCCAACTCAACTTCATCACTCTCACAAGGAGATGACGCAAAACTATATCAGTCTATAACATATTATTAACTATCTCAGTAAGAGATGCATATGGCTCAGCCCAGTTAGATCAAGGCTGCTGTCGTTGTGAGGCTAGATAGTTCTGCAGCGGTTTAATATTCCGACCAGACTCATCACATAGGTTGCCAGCGGGCTCCCACGTAGCTTCGCTGCTGGGGTAACCCTTCCAATGCACCAGGAAGTGTTGCTCACCACTGCGGTGTCGGTGATTCAAAACGGCTTCGACAACATAGCGTGTGTGTCCATCTAGATCTGTGAAGGGCGGAGGCGGGGGTTGGTGTCTTCCAGGAATCGTGTTCTCTTCGTAGCGTTTAAGAGCAGTGACATTAAACACGGGATGGCAGCGAAGTTCACGGGGTAGTTCCAAGCGAAAAGCACTCGCTCCAATCTTAGCCTGGATACGATACGGACCAAACCACTTGGGTTGCAACTTCCGAGAGGGCTGGCCACGAGTTTCCGGGGTCAGTAGAAAGTCTCTGTAGACAAGAACGCTATCACCAACCTTCAAATCACTGGGCGTTCTCGCCTGGTCTGCGTATAGAGCTTGCCTTGCCTGGGCGTCGAGCATTGCATCTCGAGCTATCCTTAGTGCGGCTTCCTGCTCATGAAGCCAATCGACCGAATCACTCCTTTCCCCTCCCGTAAGAATGAATTCGGGCGGGGACTTAGGGTCAAACCCATAGTTCAGATAGAACGGTGTATTAGCTACAGATGACTGTTGTGAACTATTTATTGCAAACTCGCAGAGTAAAGTAAAAAAAAAGTAAATTATCGTGTCCGTTCCCGAAGGGAACTCACGACGGCCGCTAACACCCGATAAATCCTAGCGGCAGATGCAGCGCCTAACGGTGGGGGTGAGTGGATAAGTCTCACAACCACTGGCACAAGTGCCGCGAACGACCCCATTAGCTGCATCCATGTACCCCTTGTGCCTGGCCACAAGTACCCAGTTGACTGTGGGTAGCAGCACGGCTGGAAAAACCGCTCCCAGGCAGGACTTGAACCAGGTACCTCTCGTATCTCAATCATGGTCTTTGACCAACCCACTGTGCCTGCCTGGTCTTCAACTCGCAGAGTGGTAGAAGCGAATCCCAATTGTCCTGTCTCAAGTTCACAAATGCTCTTAGAACACCTCCCACTTCAGGGGCGGATCCAGAGATCTCTACAGGGGGGTTCCGGTTGAACCAAATTTGAACATCCAAAATATTATGGAATCAGATTGTATTGAAGTTGTGCGGTTGTAATTACGACAATCCGATTGTGTTAGTTGGAATCGCATGCTTTTAAAACAAACTACGGACACATATTCTTCCATCATCGACCACACCACAACTGCGCTCTCCACGTTGCCACAGCACACCACCACTGCACCATCTCTGGAGAGCGCAGTTGTGGTGTGGTGGACGATGGAAAACCTGTACAGGGCCAAATGCTGCTGCTTACCCTACATTGTATATATTTAGTATGGACACATAATCATAATTATACATGTTTGCAATCGACTGGCACACAGGTTCAGTGAGGGCTTGAAGACCCTTTCAACTTTTCTTGTAAAGATCGAATATGCAAGCCATGGGTTCGTTGAGAGCCAGAAATGCCGAAATGACAACTTTCCCTGTCCGTTTGTACTTTCGGAATTTTTAGCATTTTTACGATGCGAAATGCTCTATAATCACAGGAGCATTGTCATCACTTGACAGAAACAACAACAGCGAAACAGTGTCGTCTCGACAATCCGTTCAAGGCCATCTAAAACACATCGCTGGCGCAGCACTCCGTTCCTGCGGAGTAACAACTAGTCACTACTGCATGCTGCAGCAGGTAGAGATTACTGACTTTGCTTGGATGTCGGAGCCCTCATCTTCTGAGGAGCTTGAACTCTACGTGTACGATTCGAAGTTCGTTGAAGAGTGTCATCAATCGGAACATCATTTCTCTTCCGGAAAAAAACTTGTCCAAGGAATACTGACCATACCCATCCAGAGCAGCAGTGAATGACAGCGCCAATGGAGGTAAAATTTGGATCGTTTCCAAAGATCAAAAAGGAAACAAGCTCCCAATGTTGTCTACACTACACGTCTACACTAGTCACTACAGTGTCCGTTTGTAAATCACGGACATGAACGCCAGTAGACAGACTACGTACACGGTACAGTATCGATCTACCGCATGTAGTGCACTGTACTCCTTGACTCAGTGACTGCACTGTGATCGGACGGACGTCCTTTTGTGCACACATGATAATTTTCGATATTTCTCAGCAGTACACTTTGCAAAATTTAGGGGGTTCCATGGAACCCCCGGAACCCCCCTGGATCCGCCACTGAGTAACCATCCTCTGCTACCAGTGTAACAGGTTTAATCAAACTTGAAAAGTAAGAGGCCTGGTTGAGCGTGCCTCGACCAGTTATATGCAAAATGTGATAGTATACATGTGGCAATGGCGCCAATGAAGGTGCTAATAGACAGGCGTAAGACGCATGAGGTGCGAGGGAGTGTAAAGTTATAGAGAACAGGGGAAAACTGTTACAGTCTCTTTGGGTTTGCAACCCTTACCCTCTTGGAAAAATATAGTTGCTAGACTGCGACACTTCAGACCAGGTACTATTAGAGCCGCTAATGGACGACGAGCTATTTTCCGCTATCCGGAGCTCAAGCATTTGAGCCGCTAAATGGACGAGACTCCTGGGGTAAAGGATGCAGAGAATGAGGAGAAAACACTCGTATGGAGCAGGGAGTAGGTATTGTACTACTTCCTGGTATGGAGCACTGAGAAGCGGTAAGTCTTAGGGCAATTCTTAGCCAGTAATTACTTTCTCGCCATAATTATGTTCTCGTTTTTCGTGTCTTCTGTAATGCCAGTACACTAGCAGTACGACTACACTGTAGGCGAGAGTCCATAAGCCAGAGTGTGCAGCTCTCCATCTATGCAGCATAAACAAATTAAAGGGGAACTCCACGAAAAAATGAAACTTTGACAGCCTGTAGAGTTTCGGGCGCTGAGTCGAATGGTCTTGGTCCGAAGCCTCTACGACGAAGCGTTCTTGAGATATTTCACTTTGAAATTGCAAAAACGGGGGCCGCGCCCTGACGTCATGCGGCCATTTGGTTACATCATCACGGGCTGCCTACGTCATTGTGGGAAAGTCGTTTCTCTTCGCCAATCTACAAGCACTAATTTTAGTTGGTATTTCAAGGGAAGATGGGCGATTCCGAACAATCCTCTGTCCCCAGCAATGAAGGCAGCGATGCTGAGGCCAGTGAGGACGACCAACAGCCCACCGCCGCGTATGGTTGGGGCAGGGAGCCCAGACACTCTGCTGAGGAGCTGCCATCGCGTGTAACAAAATTTAATGTTGAGGAAGAAGATGCTTCAGCAGCTGCGTCCGACAGAAGACGAGTAGCTTGGCCACCAGAATCTCGATTCGTTTGGGACTCCGACTGGTGCGAGCGTGGACAAAAGTGTATAGCCATGCCCAGCCCGCGGGAATGATTTTGCTGGAAGGATGCTGCCGTCGCTGTCGACAAGACGGCCCAAGGTTTCTTGCGTAGCGGACCTCGCAGATTACGAGATCGTATCCTTGCATTAGGCTGTGCCCATCACTGCTCTTCGAGGTTATCTCGACATGCAGAAGCCGCCAATGCCAGTGACAGAAGAGTCTGACATTAGGTAAGCCTCAATTAGTTTGCCTTGACTTGTCTTGTGAGGATCGCGTATCAGCATGATACACTTATTCTTATTTTTGGGGGGAAATTTATTGTTGTCAGGCGCACTACAGTAGGCGTCGCACAAGAAAGACATTGTACTGGTAGTTATCACAAGTTTCATGCATGACACAAACAAATTTCTCTTTGCTCCGAGTATGTCTTGACTTATCTTGTGAGGATCGATGGCCGTAATGTTTTGTGTGTAACTTATTGTTGTCAGGCATAGCACGAACAACGTTGTTCTGTACTATAGTGCTATCACAAGTTTTCATGCATGACTCACGTTTTTCTTTGTCATTTTCCCTTGGATTGGTACACGATCTGCAAAGTATGGTAGGTAGTGTTCTGTTGGTGAAGAGAGCACTGCACACAGTTTATGAGCACCATGGGTGCATTTGATCACACCCGAACCCATACTTTATCGTTTCAAGCGATAAGACTTTGTCAATAAACTCGTTCTCTAGTATACCATGGCATGCAACGTACAAGCGTGGGGTCAAGAAAGCGTACACCAAAATAATGCACAAATTCTGGCAGGAGAGTAAGAAATCTGCACTTTCTGACCAAGACATCTCTGTACTAGTACTTGAAGTAGGTAATCGAACGCGTCCTAATCAGTATTCATCCCCCAGATCATTGGAATTCAATTTGAAATCAGCAATTATGGTAAATTCTACAAGACCCTCCATCTTCGTACCAGTGGACACTAAATTAGTATGGCGCGCGCACTGAAAGTGCAGGTAGGTACCGGTAGGTGCAATACAGCGCATATGTAGAGTAAATGAGTATTTGACTATAATAATTATTACGGTACAGCAATGTGGTATGTGTACAAGCACTCATCATACACATTCCATATGACATTCTGTGTTTGTGTAGATCTCTACGCTATGCGGCACACAGGCAGTACACACTATGTACACGGCAAATTGGGCAAGCACGTTCGTTGTCGTCTTCCAGCCTGCGTTGTGAATACCATCAGGCAAAGATATCCAAATCCTGCACCACCTCAGCCTTCTCAGGAGGCTTCCACCTGGAATTTGGCAGGGAAACACGCTTCTCCAAGGCAGGAACATTGAGGTTGCCATTTGCAACCGCTACCACCTCACACATGAGCTTGTCAACATACTCATAGCTCTTTCTGCCGTATAATTTTCTATTTGGCCACAGTCTTCTTTATGCTTTGAGAACTGGACTTTATACCTTCCTATCGCGGTCTTTTTGGTTGTGCTGTGGCGACGGTTGACATTGACGTCGTCAAGAGCTGCGAGATGTGCGTGTCCAATCATCCCCAGAATTGAGAAACGAATGCGTTTGAGAATGTAGTTTGGCAGGACACTGTGATATACCTGCATGGCAAAAAGAATATGGAGAAAACACACTTGCTTAGACAATATACTGCTGTATGAGAAAATGGAAACTTCACCGTACAGGACGACTCTTGTTCTCAATTGCATTGTTCGTTTCATTCCCTGTGTTGCCCATAAGAGACGGGAGCAAAAATGTTCAGCAGATGTTTGTTGTCTTCTGGCGTGGAGTGGCGGCGTCATTAGATGTACACATAGTCATTTCACTAAGTACACCACTACTACAGCATACCGTATATTCTCTAATATAAGCGCCGTGCTTATATTTTTTCAACACCCCTCTACCCCGCGCTTATATTGGAGACTGCGCTTATATTTTTTCAACCAATACAATCCATACAGAGCAAGAAGAAATACATGCTAGATATCATGCATGCAGCATTGATTTCCACCAAGACCGTGCTAATAATAGAGACCGTGCTTATGTTTCGAAAGGTGCTCACAGTGTGCTAGTATTAGAGACTGTGCTAGTAATGGAGACCTGTGCTTATAATAGAGAATATACGGTATGTACTATCCTTAGGCTAGCGTGCATGCGATTGAGTATGTGGGTGCGTATGTGTGTGTGTTGTTGTGTTTGTGTGTGTGCACGCACACGCGCGCGCATGTGGGTGAAGGTGTGAGTGCATGTGTATAATATGTGTAGTTCCCACTGTATTCCTTGCACAATAGGTCTTCACTTACTTTTCTTTCGCATACAACCAGAACCCATTCCTTGTTCGAAATTAGATTTTTTGGCCTGGTGATCCCGCAAGCGTGGAACTCGGAGTGTAATAAATTTTTGTTTCACTTTACTTGCACTATTCCTAGGCTGTCCAGACTTCTAACAACTGCTCTGAGTGATATGGTATTCATGCAACCATGCCTAGAAGTAGGGTAGCTGTTATAAATAGAGACATATCCACGCAATCAACTTACACTGGTTCAGTTTGGCAGGATTGGTGAGACAGTTCGTCGTGCATGCTGCCTGCACATCGCAAGCAAACAGTTCTGTAACCTTCGTACTTGCTGGGGGTCTGTCTGTTTGCGTCCCAGTTGATGACAGATGTGCACAGTTTGAGTACTGGTATGCGCAAAGTTACTGGGGTAATATCGTTCATCAGCTAGCTGCAGTCGGAGTTGATGGGGTGATGTACTCTTCTGATCCTGATGGAACGTATCTCGCCCTGCTTTCTCAGTTGCAGCTTGTTGAGTTCGCTTTGCTGGAGGCTCACGGTTCGGAGGGCACTGGTACACTGATGAGGGCTTTCCTGGACGGCGTACTCGTCAAAACTCAGCTCTCAAGTCCCTCTGGATCATAAATGCAGCGAGCAAACATTGCTCGTGCTGCGAAAATAGGCTTGAAATTTTCACGACGCATTGCAACATCTCGGCGCTTTGCCAGGTCTCCATCCTTTGGGAATCTGAGAAAACTAACCCCAGGAGGATGATATGATACTGGCACAACCAACAACACAACAATTTGGCATTGCAGCGGCTCGGGCGACTTGGCAAACTACTTTCTGAATTGATTTCGTCCTGAAGAAAGTGAGATTCAAAATCCAAGTATTTTCGCACCATGCCACAATGACGTCACACATACATTGGTATGGGGCGTGGCTAAAATTGAAATTATATCAAGAACGCTTTCTCGTAGAGACTTCGGACCAAGACCATTCGACTCAGCGCCCGAAACTCTACAGGCTATCAAATTTTCATTTTTTCGTGGAGTTCCCCTTTAATGACAAATTTCCTTTGCCTAAGGGCTGGGTTCCACTGCCGCTCCGCCGCACATCATCCACGGCATGAAACGTCATCATTGCGAGCTGGTCCAGCGAGTCAGCGGCTCATCACCAGCTTTCGCTTCGCTGCTTGATACAAAAAAAATGCAAGCCGCGGTCACGGCTTGCATTGTTTCCCGCACTTAATTGTTTTATTCGGGGGAATTTTAATTCGTTGCACAGGCCAGAACACTAGGATTTTTTTGGATTTCACGCGTGCGCAGGCAGGCTAAATGTCATCAAAAAACGTCGAGCACGATCGCGGTACCGTGAATGGCGAGTGTCACTGGAACCGCGCCGCTCTGCTGCATGCAGCCAAGTACTGTGGAGCTGCAGAGCCGCAGTGGAACCCGGCCCTAACCAAACTAATAGCAATTTGAAAATGTTTGACAATTTATTTTTCATAAAAAACTTGACAACATTGTTCTTCTGTAGAGTGCCGCTGGCAACTCCATCGATGAACTCCATCAATGAGCGCAGGGATAAAGTTTAGAAACCCTTCGAGCGAGAACGTGTTTTCAAAAAGGAAGCACAAATATGCCGCGTAACTTTCCCTCTAGTATGGCCCCATCAAAGCCACTCGCTGACTACTTACCAGTAAAATGGGGTTGGACGGTTGTCAGATTAGCTGACATGTTTCAGCCAACACAACCATAAGCAGTTGTCAACTCTCAAGACTAAAAGAGCTTGCGAAGAAAGTGAGAAACCTTGGCTATGAAAGCACATGAAGCGTCAGAACATAATCGAGCAAACTTGGACCTAGATTACCAGTGTCTGCTCCAGAGCCGGGTCAGTGGCCCTGTTTGTGAGTACTTGGACCTTTTGGAAAAAGAACACTGGGTTACCTGCGACCCGGTCGGAAGTCCTGTCGAGTACTATACTTTTTTATACTTCGAGGGTATACCGCCACTGACAGGCTGCATACGCGTGCAGATGCGTGCGGCCAGAGTGCCCAGTGCGAGTACGTTCATACATGTACATGTACAATCATGTGCATCAGGAAGTCGAAAGTAATTTTACGACTCCCTGACACACAGTAGCCGCACTTGAACGCATCTGGCTCTTGCCCAGTGTTGCAGGAATTGTGCCAGGTAGACGTGTACCCGGTTTGTGTGAAATCTTAGAACAGGTACTGCATACCCTATCATATCTGTGTACATGGGTATACAGAGTCAGTGTTGTTGCGTCCCACTCAGCACCCTTCTGGTTCATTTCGGCACCAGCACTCTTTGCGTATGCAGAGTTGAGTAGAGTGCAAGTTCGGACCACAACTGCGGCACAAGCACACTGTAGCAGATAGTAGCAAACCTAACCTGTGCCGTGATGCACGGCACGTGTGTGCATCTACTTCATCCCTGAGTAACACACCTGGTATATTGTGCACAATAGGGCACAGTAAATAATCAGCATGCATCGCAGTTTTCTGCTACATATTCCAAGTCACTTTACACCTCAGAAGAATTGCGTCGCTAACTGTTAGTTATTATATTGGCCCTGGGTCATTATGAATCATATACAAAAGGTTCAAGCTAAAGTACCGTGTCACCATGGTAATTCCTGGAAATTCAGTGTGTTTTCTGCCTTTCGTTAAACAAGCAGCAATGTGCAACAGAAATTACCATGGTGATACAGTAGATGACCGTGTGAAGCGGTGTGAGATGCAGCAAAGGTGAGCCTGTTACTGTGAGTCTATGCCCTAAACAATAAACTTTGCCGTGGGTTGATTCTCCTTGGGCTGCACACTCTGCACACTTATTGCTAGGTATATCATTGGTCTTGTTCGGATCGTCCATTACGGTTGCAGCTGTTCAAACACTTGTTTTGTTGTTTAGGGGCCGTCCGTAAATATCGATGTTTTTTTAGAGACGATATTGGTGCTTCTCTCCCTTGACCCCCCCCCCCTCCCCCCAGAAGACGCACATGTACATCTAGATCATGGAATCAATATTTTTGGATGCTTTTTTTTGTTGTTGTCAATAATATGAACCCAAGATGGCAAGTTTGCAGCGTTCAAAGTGCAACTCATCGTGTACTGGTGTAGCCAAAGCGGCTACGCTGAGCTCGGGCTTCAATTTTTTCAAATCCTTGTTCAGACAGTGGAAGACTGGAAACTCTTGTGGAGTTCGTCCGTGTTTGTTCGCACTGCCTCTACGTCTTGAAAAAGGTATATAATATTATAGTGCTCTCTAGGTCCAAACATCACCAGGGATACAAACTTACAGAGACGCTCCGTTTGCAGCGCGACCGACACCTCGTGAGCACCAGATAGCAGTGCGAGTCAGTGTCGCTCCTGGACGGTGAGAGCTGTATATTGACACACAGAGAGAGAGAGAGAGAGAGAGAGAGAGAGAGAGAGAGAGAGAGAGAGAGAGAGAGAGAGAAGAGAGAGAGAGAGAGAGAGAGAGAGAGAGAGAGAGACAGAGAGAGAGAGAGACAGAGAAGAGAGAGAGAGAGAGAGAGAGAGAGAGAGAGAGAGAGAGAGAGAGAGAGAGAGAGAGAGAGAGAGAGAGAGAGAGAGAGAGAGAGAGAGAGAGAGAGAGAGAGAGAGGGAGAGGAGAGGGAGAGGGAGAGGAGAGGGAGAGGGAGAGGGGAGGGGAGAGGGAGAGGGAGAGGGAGGGAGAGGGAGGGAGAGGGAGAGGGAGAGGGGGGAGAGGGGAGGGAGAGGGAGAGGGAGAGGAGAGGGAGAGGGAGAGGGAGAGGGAGTGGGAGAGGGAGAGGGAGAGGGAGACACACACACACACACACACAAACACACAGAGACAGACAGGCAGACAGAAGGAGAGAAGACAGAGATCCGGGATGTGACATCATCATGACATCGGCCGTTGCTGCGTATGTTGGATCCAAGGTAACGAAAAGATGACACATGGGCAATCTGCATGGTTCGAATCGCGAGCGGCTCTAGATCGTCGTTAGAGGTATTGGGGCCAGAAACCATCACCTTGGTTTGGGTGGGGGGGGGCACACGCACACACACACACACACACACACACACACACACACACACACACACACACCCACACACGCACACACACACACCTTCCTTCCTTCCTTCCTTCTTCCACTGCCATGTGGCCCCATACGGGGCAGACCAGGAGACGTGTTGTCCACCGGGCGGGGAACGCCATACTCAGCACGTGCGGGCCGCGCGAACAGCGTTACACTTGTGCCTCGCAATATCCTGTGGCCGACGAAAACTGCGCGCACGAGTGCCACAAATGAGGGGCTTCGCCACAGGCTCCATGCGGGACTGGACAATAGCGTCGACAGCGTCACGGCAGGTGACCCGCCATCCCTGTCGATCTTGGACGATGTCACCAAGCTGCTCCAGAGGAACGCCAACACACACACACACACACACACACAGACACACACACACACACACACACAGACACACACACACACACAGACACACACACACACACACACATACTGTGCACCATGTATATGCCCGTCACAAGAAAAGCACGCAAAGTCGCGGAAGTCAGGTCTCGCTGGACCAACCAGAATGGAGCTGCTAAGGGCCTGAGCACGCAGCTTTCCCCATGTTGCAGAAGGCAATGCAGTGCTGCAAGTGGCAGGCAATCCTACGCGAAAAATTGGCACATAATAATAATAATAATAATAATAATAATAATAATAATAATAATAATAATAATAACGAAGGTACGTGTTGGGTCGTAAGTATCCACGCAAACACACATCCAGTCAAAATAAGGCACTTGTCAAAGTATCCGAACGTTTTCGGTCCCTTCTCATCAAGGATTATACAGGGAATGGCTCAAGTTGGAAAGACTAAAACTTATATAGTGTAAAGATATGAGATAACAACACTCGTGACAAGGTTGAAAAAAGTGTCAAGTTCAGCACGACACAAAACTCGAAGGAAATAATAATAGCGACAAGAACATAGTGAGCAAATTAAGTTACATTGTTAACACCTCGACGAGGAGTAACACCAAACAATTGTAGCGACAACACATTTTCTTTCTGTACGCAAAGTTCAGGATCTAACTTACGGATATACAAAGCTTCTAACACAGCCAGATGCAACGCACATCTACCACGTGACAATATTGAGAACACATTATCACTGTACAACTCACGACAATTGGTACGGGCTGACAGATGTTGCTTGATGGACGAAGTGCGATTCCTAGCTCCGTTGGGTGTAGTCTCCTCCAATGTCCCGTCATCTCGCCTCTTCGCGGCATCACCACTATCCGCCTCTTTGCTTTTCCGCGGCCTTCCACGTTTTCTGACACCAGCCGTTGTGTGCGCGATGCCCAGTGTCCTTTCAGCTACGTCTCCTCCATTGCGGATTTCTATTGATCTTCTTACTCCAACTTGTCCGGTGTTCGATATTGAGGTTCGTTTTCGCGGTCTACCACGTTTTCGAATATTGACTGTTGTTGTCACTTCCGTTGTCGTTGTACGTTACGTTAAGTTTTGTTCCGCTTGATGCGCGTGAGTGTCGTCCTCGCCGTGGTCGTCCTCCAAAATGTGCTGTCCAGTCCATCGGTGGATCTTCCTCTTCCTGTGAGGATATCACTGCATGCCCGTCCTCCTCCGCGTGTATAGCGCAGGGTCCAGCTGAGAACAGCGTGAAAGATGGTGAAAGACCGACACGTAAACCACCGAAATTGACAAAGGATCTGTCTGCGTCGGGAAGGGTTACGCGAAGCCAAGTAAAAATACGGACTGGTGAGGACGCACGTACAACGACAACGGAAGTGACAACAACAGTCAATATTCGAAAACGTGGTAGACCGCGAAAACGAACCTCAATATCGAACACCGGACAAGTTGGAGTAAGAAGATCAATAGAAATCCGCAATGGAGGAGACGTAGCTGAAAGGACACTGGGCATCGCGCACACAACGGCTGGTGTCAGAAAACGTGGAAGGCCGCGGAAAAGCAAAGAGGCGGATAGTGGTGATGCCGCGAAGAGGCGAGATGACGGGACATTGGAGGGGACTACACCCAACGGAGCTAGGAATCGCACTTCGTCCATCAAGCAACATCTGTCAGCCCGTACCAATTGTCGTGAGTTGTACAGTGATAATGTGTTCTCAATATTGTCACGTGGTAGATGTGCGTTGCATCTGGCTGTGTTAGAAGCTTTGTATATCCGTAAGTTAGATCCTGAACTTTGCGTACAGAAAGAAAATGTGTTGTCGCTACAATTGTTTGGTGTTACTCCTCGTCGAGGTGTTAACAATGTAACTTAATTTGCTCACTATGTTCTTGTCGCTATTATTATTTCCTTCGAGTTTTGTGTCGTGCTGAACTTGACACTTTTTTCAACCTTGTCACGAGTGTTGTTATCTCATATCTTTACACTATATAAGTTTTAGTCTTTCCAACTTGAGCCATTCCCTGTATAATCCTTGATGAGAAGGGACCGAAAACGTTCGGATACTTTGACAAGTGCCTTATTTTGACTGGATGTGTGTTTGCGTGGATACTTACGACCCAACACGTACCTTCGTTATTAAAGTATTATCCGCCTCCGACTTCTTGTAAAATAATAATAATAATAATAATAAAAAAGCGAACAGACCAGACCTGGTGCTGGTTCTGGATGATCGGGCACTGCTCTTGGACGTCAGTGTCCCATTGGACCACAGGGTCAATGAGAAGGTGCAGGAGAAGATCAGCAAATACCTGCCCTTGGCAGCAGAGCTGAGGAGGATCTGGAACAAAAAGATAACTATTGTTCCAGTTATCATTGGTGCTCTGGGTGGTGTGTCAGGAACGAGCCGCAGCCACATCTTAAGCCTTGGGCTCCACGCGTCCGTGATCCAGCGGCTGCAGCAATGTGCTATTCTGGGCACCCTGAGAATTGTGCGGTCGGTGACTGGTCATGGATGGGAGAGTGGCATGGTCGGAACGGTCGGTTGACCTTATGTTAGCCTGCCCGTAATGTCTCGATGTGTCTCAGTCTGTGTGTTTTATGATTGTGGTGCATCATGTGCTGTGTGACGAGCCGAGAGGCGTGAATTTTTGCCATATGCCCCCAGTCATGTATTGTCTTTCTCTGCATATGCCGTTTTATCTCGTCTGAGTTTGTCTTGCTTGGAGTGTCCCATGTGCAGCATGCTTGGTGTTTACTACTTGAGCAGTTCTGTTATACATGACTGTGATTTTATGTGAGTATCGAAGTTGGTATACTTGAATTTTTCTCTCATGAAGTTTATCAAAATTTGGTTCAGGATTTTCTTTTATCTTCATTGATTGGTGCTTCACCCTTGGGTCATATGGATCCCGGTGCTGTGCTTCATGCCTCCTTTCAAGCTTTCTTTTTCTGCTTTGGGAGTGAATAAAGTCGTCATAATAATAATAATAATGAAGGTACGTGTTAGGTCGTAAGTATCCACGCAAACACACATCCAGTCAAAATAAGGCACTTGTCAAAGTATCCGAACGTTTTCGGTCCCTTCTCATCAAGGATTATACAGGGAATGGCTCAAGTTGGAAAGACTAAAACTTATATAGCGTAAAGATATGAGATAACAACACTCGTGACAAGGTGAAAAAAGTATCAAGTTCAGCACGACACAAAACTCGAAGGACATAATAATAGCGACAAGAACATAGTGAGCAAATTAAGTTACATTGTTAACACCTCGACGAGGAGTAACCCCAAAACAATTGTAGCGACAACACATTTTCTTTTTGTACGCAAAGTTCAGGATCTAACTTACGGATATACAAAGCTTCTAACACAGCCAGATGCAACGCACATCTACCACGTGACAATATTGAGAACACATTATCACTGTACAACTCACGACAATTGGTACGGGCTGACAGATGTTGCTTGATGGACGAAGTGCGATTCTTAGCTCCGTTGGGTGTAGTCTCCTCCAATGTCCCGTCATCTCGCCTCTTCGCGGCATCACCACTATCCGTCTCTTTGCTTTTCCGCGGCCTTCCACGTTTTCTGACACTAGCCGTTGTGTGCGCGATGCCCAGTGTCCTTTCAGCTACGTCTCCTCCATTGCGGATTTCTATTGATCTTCTTACTCCAACTTGTCCGGTGTTCGATATTGAGGTTCGTTTTCGCGGTCTACCACGTTTTCGAATATTGACTGTTGTTGTCACTTCCGTTGTCGTTGTACGTGCGTCCTCACCAGTCCGTATTTTTACTTGGCTTCGCGTAACCCTTCCCGACGCAGACAGATCCTTTGTCAATTTCGGTGGTTTACGTGTCGGTCTTTCACCATCTTTCACGCTGTTCTCAGCTGGACCCTGCGCTATACACGCGGAGGAGGACGGGCATGCAGTGATATCTTCACAGGAAGAGGAAGATCCACCGATGGACTGGACAGCACATTTTGGAGGACGACCACGGCGAGGACGACACTCACGCGCATCAAGCGGAACAAAACTTAACGGCACATGTTGACGAATGCGCGCGCCCAGGTGCTGAAGGGTTCTACCTACATACCGATCTTCACATTGTCGGCATTGAAAGAAATAGATAAGGTTACTTTTACTAAGGGTAGGTAGAACATCCTTCTTCACACTGAACGCACGCACTGTCCCAAATATGACGTACAGCTTGACGCACGGATAAGATGGACATACGATACCACGAACATCCTTCTCCACGCGCGCAGAACCGGCGCCAACCCAGGGTAAACAGAGCACCACTGGGCAAAGGTCAGGTCCAAATTGGATCGGCTTGTCTGTCGCCGGTTTTTCGTTGATAAGCTTGGCCAGAAATTCCTTTGGATAGCCGTTGTTCGTAAATATTGATGTCAGTCTGTCTAATTCGTCCTGCAATAGATGAGGGGAACATATTCTATGCGCACGATAAACTAGCGCTTTCACAAGATGTTTCTTCGATTTCGTTGGAGTATAGCTCCCCCACGGAATGTAGAGGCCGGTGAAAGTTGGCTTCCTATAGATAGTGGTGTCCAAACTCTTAGTGTTAATGTTGCGTGAAATTTGTACATCCAAGAAGGATAATCTGCCGTTTTGTTCCGCTTCCGGCGTGAATCTCAACGCCGGATGGAGGCTATTCAGAGTTAGTAGAAAAGTCCCACAGACATCCTCATCCTCATCGTGACAGTACACATCGTCTACAAAACGACAGTACATAGAGGGCCAAAATGATGGACTAATGGACGCTTCACAGAACCCTACAAATATATTAGCCAATACAGGACCAAGTGGCGAGCCCATGGCAACGCCATCTATTTGTTTATACATAACGTTGCCAAATGAAAACTCAACGCCAGATGTAACCATTAACATGAGTTTCACAAACTCCGTTTTCGTCGAGGTGTTAACAATGTAACTTAATTTGCTCAC